TGAAGCAGATGGCAGGGAATAAATATTCTGACTTAATCATCCCTATTGTCAGTCACTTTTCCACCAAGTTGTGCCCCTCTGAGTACTCTGGGTTTTTACAAAGGCGATATGGGACTGAAGCCATGAATATGTGTAGCATATTTTTTTTTCCACACAAGAGTTAGATGTGATTAGTTACAGTTATCCCACTTTGAACATTCTTGTTTAATTTGTAGCAAATTAAACATCCCTACTAGTAATATTCAGAATAGATTTGCAGTTTTGTGACTAGACTTAACATCTAAAGAGGTGCAACAAATTCCAGAACCATACTATAAAGCCTGTATTATAACATTGCTAGTATCTTCTGTAAGTATCTTCTAAGATTATGCCTATCTTCAAAGGGACAAAAGTAGTCTCCATTTCTAGCCATTGGAATGAAGAGGCTGCGGCAGATTCTTTACAACAGCAGTCCCCAACCTTTCCAGCTTTCTAGCGGACTTCCAACCTTTCCAGAGGACTGGTGGCAGTGGCAGGAAGTGGGGGGAAGAGGGGATGGTTCCACATTTGCATTGGGCAGGCACGTTTGCGTGTGAGGCTCCATTTGCATGAGCACTTGCTACGTGCAAATGGAGTTGTGTATGCAAGTGTGGCTACCGCACTTCCGAATGGACCATGAACTGGTACCAGGCCATGGCCCGGGGGTTGAGGACCTCTGCTTTTCAAGTTCAGGGTTTATGTGGAAACCACTTTGATAAGACTCATTGGCTAACAAAGCAGTTTCTCCCTTCTCATCCTTTGGATATTAAATTATTGTTTCTATGGGTTCTATATTATGATGAATGAGAGAACACACCTCTTTGTAGCTGTATTTCAAGAGGAATTGCCCCTGAACTATGCAGTACAAATACTTTATTCCTACTGGATCAAAAGTGAACTATAAGAATGAACCATTATTGTAATATGGCCCCCCAAATATAGAAACATTGCATGTTAAGAACATAAAATTATCATTACTGTCTTCATCACCACTATAAACTCAGCTTTTTTCAAGGTTTGCTTTTTTGCACATGGAATATATATAGCTGCAATTGCAAATGTAAATGCAACTAATTTGACCTATAAATTCAAGACCATCCAAGAGCTACCAGCAGGAATATCTGCACAATTGTTGTTACATCTGTGAAAATTAAAATAAAATGCATGCAGGCTATTTTTAATTATTTGGGTGGATTCTATGGCACTTTTATAGTGTTAGTATGTGATCATCAAATGGGTTTATAGACTTTTGGTGCCAACACCAAGAAAAAAAAAGAATGTCTGCTGACTTTTGTGTCTAATGTGGCAATGACCTAACTAGCCTAGGTACTTTGTCTTTCAACAGAATAATTTCCCTCCTCCTCAGATAATCTGCTCAGATTCAGTTTGCCCAGCATATGAGACGGCTTTGGGGTAGTGTGTGCGCAAAACAGGAGATTATATGATAGGAATGCAAATGACATTTGAAACACCAGGTTTTAATTAGATCAACATCCCATGCTTTAAGACTTGCATGAAAACATCAGACTTAAGAATTCTTTACTAGGCATTTTCCATTACTCCCACACTAACAGAATCCTGTCTATAAAAACGTACCTACCTATTTTGTATTTCTTATTGTCCAAAAGGATTATAGTGATGACAGAAAAAGCTCTTAGAATGGTTATAATACCATTATTGCTTTCCGATCAGATTTCTGAGTGAAATGCAATCAGGGTTGCTTTTAGGCAATATCTGGGAAGCTTTGACAAAAGAATTCTGATAGCCTATAATATTTAGGAGATGTGTGTCTATGAAGTAAGAGAGCTCAAAACTCTAGGTGAGGATGATTCAGCTGGGTTCACCCTCTCTAGTCAGGGGGAATAAGTAAATGTCTGAGTGACAAGAACAATAGATTGCAGTTTGAGTTAAGAGGAGAAATAGGTCTTGGTTTGTTAAGCAAACAGCATGCCAGGGGCTTGCTGACCCCCAGGGACCTGACATGGGAGCAATAGACTTGAGTTGTCTGTTTGGGGTTGTTAAACCTATGCTCTGTGTTGTATCCTGTAGTGCTGAGCTGAAAGAGTGTTTTACTGTAAAGGAACTATGGAAACATTAGTAGAATGTAAGGGCTGAATGGAAGAATGGAAAAGGAAGAAGAGGAAGGATCTAAGTGCACTAAAATTCTTGACAAAATATCACATTGTGTGCCCAAATTAAATGAGAATAGGTTATTAAAATAATCTGGTAAATCATAAAACAAACAGTAGCAAGGTATTAGAACCCACTGCCTGTCAGGCCTGTACAAGAGCATTTGTTGACTCCAAAGCACAAAATAATTTATTATTGCTACCTCTAATACAAAAATCTAGTCAACTAACTATCAAAGCTAAATTGGCTCTAGATAGGGTTCAACGGAATTCATGGGGGAGCTGGAGTTAGGTCTCTCATGGCAGCGCAATGACTCCAAACTGATGACACTTTTAACCCTGCCTTCCTGCTCAGCCTGCACTACTCCCATACTGCCAATTTTATAACAATAATTGCCCTGAATTACCCTATCAACTTCATATGGCTGCTCCTCAGAGTTAAAGATTGCTTGTACTGTGAAACTAATTTAAGGATCAACCCTTGCATTTATGACTTTCATTGGTCTGTAAAGCAAAGGAAAGCTGAAGTAAGATCATAAGTACAGCTGGGGTTCCACTTATTGGCTGCTTCATTTAACAATTGACTTGGCAATCCACCAGTTGGTGGTCAATATATGAGGACTACCTCTAGAGATATAAGATGGGCAGTTCCCAACTTAAGAAGATACTTCATACATTGATACTATCTTACACAGAATATGAAATATATCTCATGATCTTGTATTAAAAAGAGGAAGATATAGAACAAATTGCTAAGTAACAAAATGCAATTTATATTTTTATAAGTAAGTGTAAATATTATAAATTTCATAAAACCAGTGCTTTTCTTTAAAGATGGAATCTGGATGCTAAAGAATGGAGCAGTACATAATTCTCTCTTATCTAGCGATCCATCTTGTGTTTATCTCTAAAGTGAGGGTTGACACTCCTGAGGTATTTATGGAGTTTCCCTTATTCTTTACAGCTTAAAATATTGTGCTGAAAGAAAGCACTGCACGAAATAAAGAGAATCTTAATTCTCAAAATCCTATTTTAACTTAACTTATTACAGAAGAGATTTCTAAAAGCCAGATCTTTTTTTTTTTTTTTTGACTTTCTGATAACTGAAGTTGCTTCTAAGTCTCTGATCAGTCTTGGGGTTGCTTTGTTTTATTTGGCAGTACTCTACAAACTCCAGGTTTTTGTTAGCATAGAGGGGCATAAGGGGGAATTCATATTGCTATAATGAATATAGATGTTGATGAGTGAAAGTGATGATCCTCTGAGTGAAAGGAGATTATCATAATGCTGCCAGCCAAGGAGTACCAAGGTTCACCAGAAGGTAAATACATGGGAGAATAATGGAAGAAAAGAAAAGAAAAGATGTCTGAGTGAGAATTTGAAGATAATTAAATGGTACATTGACTTTTTTATTCAATGATTTAATAATAATAATTAGTCTTTACATAGCACCTTTTGTGGATTTTTATCTTTATGCCAACACTTGTAGCACATCCAGCATACCTCAAGACAGCTACCTTGGGACTTCACCAGTGGTGGGTTTCAATTTTTTTTACTACCGGTTCTCTGGGCATGGCATGGCTTGGTGGGCGTGGCTTGGTGGGCGTGGCAGGGAAAGGATACTGTAAAATCTCCATTCCCTCCCCACTCCAGGCAAAGGTTACCGCAAAATCCCCATTTCCTCTCGATCAGCTGGGACTTGGGAGACCAGAGAAAAGATGGGGGCAGGGCCAGTCAGAATTTTTACTACTGGTCCTCCGATCTACTCAAAATTTCTGCTACCGGTTCTCCAGAACTGTTCAGAACCTACTGAAACCCACCTCTGGACTTCACTAAGACAAGGCAACAAAAAGAAAGAAAACAGTCCAGTCTCTGGTCTAAGTGATTTAGTAGCTTTACTTCCTCACCTTAAACAGATTCTCCAACAGACCACTGATCGATTTTAAGCTGATTAATGCATGAGCTGCCACACAGATGGACCATTTCAATATCTTGTTGCTGACTTGGACCCCAAGATTTTGAATTGTATCAGAACACACCATGATAATCTTACCTTTGAGCTAATGTCCTAGCTGCAGAGATACTAAGACTATCTTCAACAAACTGAATTTTTGAGATAGGGAAAAGGCATTAGGATGATATGACTGGGCAAATATGGCTTTTCTCTCCAGCATCCCATTGACATTTACGATCATTAAAGCTGATTGATAGTATCCAGGTCCCTATTCCCCTGACTGTACCACAGCTGAGATTTCCTTGGAAAGCTTCTGTTTGAATCAAATTTAAACTGTGTTTGAACATATAAATTTTTGCTCTCATAAAAGAAAGCTATAAAGGATAGAAATGCTAGCTAAGGTCAAGCTGGTCGATTTTACAGTGTCTTTTGGATGTATTATTTCTACTATCACTACTTTTAAAAGATCCATAGTGGTAATGCTTAATTTGTATCAGTGGGAGATCCCAGCAGGTCCATCTTGACCTTAACAGAATTTCCACCAAAAAGTTAAAACATTAAAACAAAAGAGAAGAAAGGACAGAAGCTTCACAGGGATGCCTCTTTGATGTGATTGCAATCTCCCTGATCAGCAGGCCAGAAGAGTTGGGATGGAGCAGGCAAAGGCTATGCATGCATGTCTGTGCGCTCATCTGTCAAAAGGGAGAGAAGCAGCGATGTGGGGGTCTATCATTAACTTGGCTCTATGAGAGGCAAATTACAGACTTGGTTACACAATTAGGCCAATGCTATAGGAAATGGAAGAACAAAATCATTTTGCTGTGAATTATTTTAGCACCGTCTCCTTTGCTTTGAATACAATAGCCTGGGTAAAATTAGCCACTGTTCTTTTTTGACAGGGATTGATAGACATTGGTGGCCGGTATTGGAGATGGTGAGAAGAGGAACTTAAGACACCTGACCTTGATGACAGCAAAACATTATACAATTAGTTGGCAAATCTGGATACAGAAACCTGATGCAAGCCAAACCAATGTATGATAGTTGGGAAGGATGTGGATGGCTTTTAATTCCTCACTTTCTCTTATAATTATGAAGAATGTTTATTTATCTTTATTATCATACATTAAATGTGCCATTGTCTTTCTGCTCTTGTAAATTTTGTGGGGAACTAGTGACTTTTTTTGTAGTCAAAATAGTGGAAACTAACAATATTCTAATAAGTTTAGGAGATTTTTCTAAGATGGAGTTTCTAGATCCCACAACTGCCCACTTGCAGCTGAATATTGCCTAAAATCAGACATTGGGACAATTTCCTTTCTAAGCAAAACTTTCAGGTTTTTTTTTTCCCCAATAGAAGCTTTCATTAAGGGTAGTGTTGAAGTAGAAATCAGGAGACTATGAGTTCTACTGCTCCATCATGCATGGAAGCCAGTGGATGACTTGTGCTGATCACCCTTTCTCAGCTATGCTCCCCTTACTAGACTGTTGTAGAGAAAATAGGAGAAGGGAGCATTATTTATATTGTCTTGAAATGTATAAAACAAAGGTGTGATTTAAATCAATCAATCAATCGATTAATCAATCAATTAAACACTTAGAAGATCATGTGAAACATTTCTAACCATAGATAGAATACTAACCTAGTAAGCAATTTTGCCCATAGTATTGGTGATGGGAATAAGTCAAAATGCTAAGCTGAGATGAAAACTGGAAACAACTTCTAACGGCATGGTGGTTGGAATGCTCAGTGGGCATAAACATGGATATTGCACAAATGAATGATCCCATAAATGAATGTTAAAGTAAAATTTTGGAAGGTCTGTCTACTGCTAAACTGACTGTTGTACCATTTGCCTTCTCAATGGGAACTTAATTTATACAAACATTCTCGGAAGCCCCATTTGCTCTTGAATGAACAAGATGATAGGACATATACAAGCTTAGGACATATCTTACAGAAGTGCCAATCACCTTGCCCCAAGACATGGGAGAACAGCCAGGTCTTTAGGACTTTAGGGCTATCCAGAGTCATACAGATCTCCAAAGGAATCTCATTCCAGAAGACAGTCACCACAACAGGAAAAACAGGTTTTCTCAGTCCTAACAGATGACACTGATTATCTGAAGAAACATGAACCACACCAAACTCTTTATCTCTTACTGATTGGGCAGGCACCATGAAGGATAGGCAGTCCCTCAGATAACCAGGCCCTATGCCTTATAATATAGAGTTGAGGAAATTAATATGTTCATCAGTCACTTCAGTAATTTCATGAGAAAAGTGCCTTGGGAAAGTACATGATATCAGCAACTATAGGCACAGTCCTTTAAATGATAAAATTGTGGGGATTGAAATAATAGAAATGCATATTACTGGGGATGCGGTGGCATAGCAGCTTAATGATGGAGCTGCTGGCCAGAAATGGTCTGCATTCTAACACTTTGAACCTGGCTCTGCGAGCCGTGGGAGCTGCTATCGTTTGTGCCACAACTCCTGCCCAGCCAGCAGTTCGAAAGTATGTAATATTGCAAGTAGATAAACGAGTACCACTTTGGTAGGAAAATCCTATCAGCATTTGTGTGTGCAGAGAGCAGAAGCCAGTGCTGAACCTGGCCAGATGTGAGGCAATGCAATAGAAGGCGAGGCCAGATGAGGCAAGGAGAGTTCAATTCTCGAATACAGCTCGTCTGCCTGGAATCCACATTGTATATCTGATATTAATACGATTGAGTGGGTCCAGAGGTATTTCACAAGAAGAGTACTCCGCTCCTCTACTCACAATAGAATCCCTTATTTCAACAGGCTTGAAATTTTGGGCTTGGACAATCTGGAACTGCGTCACCTGCATTCTGATTGAAGCATAGTACACAAAATTGTCTGCTACAATGTCTTACCTGTCAATGACTTCTTCAGCTTCAACAATACACGGGCAAACAATTGATACAAACTCAAGGTAAACCGTTCCAAACTCAATTGCAGAAAATATGACTTCAGCAACAGAGTGGTCAATGCCTGGAATGCTCTACCGACTCCGTTGTTACATCCTCTAACTCTCACAGCTTCAACCTTAAACGGTCTACCATGGACCTCCCCCTATTCCAAACAGGTACGTAAAGGGGGCGTGCAGAAATGCACCAGCGTGCCTACCATCCTTGTCCTACTGTCCCCATTTATTTGTATTCATTTCCTTCATGTCCATGTTCACATTCATACCTGCTATCTTGTACATGTTTGACAAACTAATAAATAAAATAAAGACTGGAGGAGGAGTCTGGAAGAGCCAGCAACCCAAGCACTGCTAGTCAGTTGGTATAAGCTAATTTCCCCCTCTGCAGTGTACCAAGGATAGGCATGCAAGTACTGAACCAAATGAACTAGCAACTTAGGCTGTCAGGACTGCATTGTGTCTAGCATTTGTAGATTTCCCTGACATTGTATGCCGCACATTAAACAAACAAACTAACAAACAAACAAATAATATACACATCACCCATGCTCTCTTTCTGAGAGTGATGGTATTTTCTCTAGAGAAGGACCAATAGATTTATTTTTTCAATTCATTCTTATTTCTAGGCTTGCTTTTTCCTTCTTCAGTTGCTTTAATTTTATTTTTTTTATTTTTTCCCCTTCCTCCTTCCTTTATATAGCATATGTATTACATTCCAATCTTTTTATTCTTTATTTCTTTAATAAAAGAAATAAGGTTATAGTTATGCTAATTTTGCTTTAGTATTCTTCCCTCAATCATTTATTCCTTCCTTCATGAATTATTTCTTCATTGGCATCTAAATTTTTTACTATGAAAATTTTAAATAATACAGTATGCTTTTCTTCCAGTGTTTTGCCTGTGTAAACATGTCTCTGTGTTAGTTTTCTTACCAGAGAAATATAGGAATGATATGCATTACTTGCAGCTTTGAGAACATTCAGGAAATGATCTCTGCAAGTGATCTTTAGTTGCTGTAGACTCACAACTGCCAGTTGAAAAATTCTCCATGAAGTTCTATGAAACTGGGAATAGTTCAGTTCTTTAGAGTGGACTGACTGTTCTGCAAATTTCATCCTGCTTTTATTTACAGGTTTTCAGCATTATTATTGTTGTGATATATATATATATATTCCACACTTGATACTTGGAGAGTAGAACTGCTTTTTTTCTCAATGTTCTCAATTTGCACTCTAGAAAAGCTTTTTATCCAATTGGCATTTTTTGACAAAAACCAGAAGTAAATGCTGGAAATCATAAAAATAAAAATAAAAAATCATGGTTATGTGACTGCGGGATGCTGCAAATGCCTGAAAAAGGTGAGTCCAGTTGCCAAGTGGTCACTAAATATCCACTTGCTAGGTAAAAATTATCGGGACTAGTGCAAAACTGGTTAGGCTTCTGAAACTGAGGACCTTGGTACATCATTGATCAATCTCTGTCCTTTAGTACTGTAGTCTAACAAAAGTGCTTGATGCTATCTATGGGTTGGCATTAGAGGTCCTTAGGTGAAAGCCCTTGAGATAGGTGACAGAAGGCTGGATCAGAGTGCTGTGAATTTTGGGAAGGAAATGGTGCTGCCAGCCTTGAAAGAGAAACTTTATGCTTCCTGCTCAAGAAACCTGTGCTTGACCCTGTTAATTTGAAGGATATCTCATTTTGTAGTGAAGAAATTTATGCAATGTTCTCCACTTGGTTTCAGTGGAAAAAAATGAACAAATAAGTAAAACATTGTTATATTAAATCTTAAATCAGATGATTTCCACTCAGTGACTGATACTGTTTTCTAGTATCATCCAATTATTGCAATACCTTTATAATAGCAATGAGAACAGATTTTATATTGTGTCAACAGTGGTTGGGCAAACTAAGAAGACACTAAAAGTTGCTAAAACGAGATGACCAAAATTTCTGTAATCATCTAAAAAAATCTGTTATCTGGTATGTAACAAATTCTAAATTAGAAAGTCCTATGTTAAAATACATTCATTGGCTACAGCTTTAAAAATCTAGAATTTTCTTCAAATGGAGACTTGATTTTCATCTTTTTATGCACTAGTAAATATTTCATTGAAAGTTCAGTCAAGCAAAATTTAAACAAAAGAAAGTGTTATTGACTGTACTGAAATTTGGAATTTTCACAAAGTACTACAATTGCAGTAAAAGCCTACTGTGAATGTAATGGGACCGAAAATAAAAGTATAAGAACTAAGAAAACCCCATGTCACTATGATAGGCTATTATGTTTTATTTATCTGGAAAAGTAGAGGTTAGGTTACATTTGTGCTTTGAATATTTTGAACCCTGAGATAGATTATGAAAAAATATGACATAAATTCAGATTAAAAAAATGATTTGACAGGAAAAAATAATGACTTTATATATTTTATGGAGCTCCAGCTGCAGTTTGGGAAGTAAAGCTTCTTCCTGAATAGACAGTAAAATCTAGGCAAGAAAAAACTCAAATCCATCCCATGGATAGATCCAGACTTTGGACTGTCACTTGAGTTGGTGTTTGTTGATATCCAGGAAAATGGACTTGCTCAATAAAATTAATAGTTAATTTAATACTGGCTTCATTAAATACTGCATTAATTCTAGGGTATTAGAATCAAAGACACATTATAATTATTTTTCCTATTGAATGCAGAGACTGGATATTTATTTATTTTCCTTTTCTTCTAGGGGTGAGTTCTATCTACCTTTACTACTGGTTCACAACGGGGCTGCACACGTGCACTTGCTTTGCTCGCACGCTCTTCTGCACATTCGCAGAAGCGTTCTGATGATGTCGGGGTCAATGGGCAGAGCCTCCCGCTGGTTTTACTACCGGTTCTATAGAACCGGTCTGAACTGGGGGCAACCCACCACTGTTTTCTTCTGTAGTTCTTGCAAGTTCCGCCAACAAGATAAATGGTTGGCATTTTAAAAAGGATAACTCCAGTCACTTCTAAGTGGACATTTTCTTTACGTTGTTTTCATTATATTGCAGATCACAATGGAAAACAGGAAATACTCATGTTATTTTTACACATTTTCAATAATTCCATACAGTAACATCCTTCTTGGTATCTTTTTAAGGGCTACATAGTTCTATATACTTTATAAAATTGTGAATGGCTACACAACCTAATTCTAATGCATATATTATTCACTTATAATAATTATTATAAGTCTAGTAGAATTAACTCAAATGACAATTGGTCCTATTTTATCATATTCTTGCACATCTGTATCAAACTGTATTTTGGGAATTATGCAAGTTTTGTCTCATATATTTCTACATGGTCTTTCTCTGATAACACATGTTCTTTGTTCATAATAATTTTGTCTAACTTGGATAGGTTAATATATTCTAAAATGAAATACAAAAATAAAACTTCATTGAAATGTCAAAGTAGTAACTGCAGAAGCAGCAGAAATGCATGTTTGTTATTGCAGAACTTTTGTTGTTGATCCTACCAAGCAGACAATAAAGTAAAAACCATTCTATTTATTTGTGCCTTTCAAGCAACATTTTCATTAGAGAACAAAAGATAAAAGTAATCAACATCTGATCATACATGAAGATGAAAGAATTTGACTGTGTCCTCATGTAGCCCACATGGGTGCAGAAAATATCACATATGTCAAAAACATCCAAGAACTATGAAGATGCAAAAATTGATTTTGGATCCCTTACTAAAATGTCTATTTTCAATATATTTCCTTCCAATATCCATTTCTACTTTATTTTAATTGCATTTTAATAATCTTCTAAAACCTAGAACATCAGAATATTTGTACATTGTAAATGTGGTGGGGGGAGTGAGATACACATATTAATCTGGGAGATTCAATTCAGATAACTTTCTGTATGGCTTTTCAAAAGACTGAATTCCTCAAGGATTACTATCAAAATGCGAGGAAGAGACAGCCTCTATTCTTGTTGAAGGTCAATTTTGAATATGCCAAAAATCAATTTGATTGAAAGTTGAGTAAATCTAGACTTGCTAAATATCCTTTTTGCACAAATATGGAAGTAATAAAATTATTAAAAGTGTGACTGTACTTACCTGGAGCAAATCACATTGATGCCAAAATGATGTCACTATCACAACTCTAAATTTGATAAATAAATTGCCATTTCATCATGTCCCCTAGCAGTGGTGGGATTTAAATCTTTACTACCAGTTCTGTGGGCATGGCTTGGGCATGACATGGCTTGGTGGGCATGGCAGGGGAAGGATACTGTAAAATCTCCATTCCCACCCCACTCCAGGGGAAGGTTACTGCAAAATCCCCATTTCCTCCCGATCAGCTGGAACTTGCGAAGCAGAGAATAGTTGGGAGTGGGGCCAGTCAGAGGTAATATTTACCAGTTCTCTGAACTACTCAAAATGTACGCTACCAGTTCTCCAGAACTGGTCAGAACCTGCTGAATACCACATCTGGTCCCCCCTCACCCATCCTGGACACTCCAATGGTAACCATCACTGATTTTTCTAATTATTCATCAGTGAAATTTAAGAAACATACAGTAATGGATATGATTTTGAGAAGAGCTGACCACATATCACAATCATCAGAATCTGAAAGGGGAAGATTGATCAATTCCTGAACAAAGAACTATGGGGAATCTTATACTGGTCATTATAACACCTTTATAATAACAGTGTACAATTTCTCTTTTGAAGCTTTTATTGAACAAATAAAACATGTATTGGAAGAAAGCAAAGAAATGCCCATCTGTACCATCATTTAACAAAAGATGTAGTCTGGTGGTTTGAATTGTGTATTATATTTCTTTATTGTTTTCCATGACAACTCTTTTATGATGTTAAAAGTTTGAGAAACAGAGATTGAAAACACAAGAAGTTTATTATCAGACAATATTCAGACCAATCTGTTGCGTTTTCCATTGTTTTGAAAAATTCAAAAGGTATTGTTAAGAAGTCATATCAGGCAGGTATTTCTTCAGTCTAAAAACACTCTAGTGAATAATTTTCAAATAAATGGAGGAGAATTCTGTTTTGCTTGCAAGCTCTTCACAGTCAGAAAGAGGAAAGTTCTGTCAGACTCTTTATGGCACATTAGTCACATCAGTCTAGCTTTGGAGGGGGTAAAAGGTTTATTGGAATATTTCAACAAACAGCTTCCTATCTCTAGAAGTTTAGCACGGTTTCACATGCAGCTTTTCACTTGCAAATATTCATAAAAGGTCAGTATAGTTGCTATTTAATTGTAATGGTTATTAGAAGACCAATAAATATGATTGTCCAAGAGGCGATGATAGTGCAACCATGAGAATTAACCGAGATAGCTAGAAATCTAGGATTTTGATGAAACAATTTATTGCTTGTTGATGATCCTCTAGAACCGTGATGGCAAACCTATGGCACGCATGCCACAGGTGGCACGCATAGCCATATTAGTGGGCACAGAAGCTCAGCTCCGCCACACAGGCGCATGCCGGCCAGCTGATTTTCAGGCCTTCTGGGCTCACCGAAAGTAGGGAAAAGGCTGTTTCCTGGCTCCAGAGGGCCTCAGGGGGTGGTGGGGAAGGCCCGTTTTTCTCTCTCCCCAGGCTCCAGAGCCTTTCTAGGACCTTGGGAGGGCTTGCCTGGAAGTCAGCAAATGGGCCATTTCCAGAAGTTGGCAAACAGGCTGTTTCTGGCCTCCAAAGGGCCTCCGGGGGTGGTTGGGAAGGCCATTTTTGCCCTCCCCAAGCTCCTAGAAAGGCTCTGGAACCTGGGGAGAGAGAAAAACGGGCCTACCAGGCCCAGCATGCCATCACGCGCCAGGAGCAGCGGGGCGGGGGGGTTGTGTGCGCATGCGCGGGGTGGGGCACATAGAAGTACGGGTGTGGGCATGTGTGCGCGGGACCTCCCCTCCTGGCACGTGATGGAAAAAAGGTTAGCCATCACTGCTCTAGAAGTTAAAGAAGTTGATATCAGCATTTAATTATCTTACTTGGGGGACATTTTTTGACTTCAACAATAATGCATACAATGACCTTGGGTGTATATCCAAGTAAATCTTGGTTAGAAATAAAAATAATTTTGTTGGAACATATACAGGTAGTCCTCGATTTACAACCCTAACTGAGCCCAAAATTTATGTTGCTAAGCAAGAAAGTTGTCAAGTGAATTTTGCCCCATTTTAAGACTTTTCTTGTCACAGTTGTTAAGTGAATCATTGCATTTGTTAAGTTAGTAACCCAATTGTTAAGTGAATCTTGATTTCCCCATTAACTTTGCTTGTGTCAGAAGGTCACAAAAGATGATCACATGATACAGAACACTGCAACTGTAAATATGAACCAGTGGCTAGGTGTCCAAATTTTTATCACATGACCATGGGGGTGTTGTAAGTGTGAAAAATGGTCATAAGTCACTTTTTAAAGTGCCATTATAACTTTGAACAATCACTAAATCAACTGTTGTAAGTCAAGGACTACCTGTATTTAATACATAGACAAATGAATTAGATGAGCATTTCCAATGCTAGTCCTAAATAAAATTACCATCTGTAATGAGATACATACCTAATCAGTCAACTTTGACTACATTTTTAATAAGAAAGAGAAGGAGGGAGGGAGGGAGGGAGAGAGAGAGATAGAGGGAGAGAAGAGGCAGGCAGCATCAGCAATGGTGGATCTTGATATAATAATTCTAACCCAGAGTTTGCCAGCCATGTTTGGACTTTCCTCTAAGCCAGAGGTCACCAACCAGTGGTCCATGAGAAAATTTTAGTAGTCTGCAGTGCACCCAGGTGGAGGAGCTGCTTCGGGATGACCAATGGCCAGTCCTGTGACTAGAGCTCTGGAATATGGGACCGGCCAAGAAGCTCATGGTGGGGCTGGAAATCACCATCATAGAGGGAGATACGTGCAACTTGCAACTTTGCAGGTGATGCAATGTTCAAGGAGTAGCGCAACCCTTGCCTGCCAGAACAAGGTAATGGTGCTGTTGCGGCAAGGGGTGGTGGCAATGCAGGTGAGCCAAAGCAACGGGTGTCGGCAACCAGCAGCTCTTTTGTCCCCATGCTGTGGCTTCCTGTCGGCTGAACCCACCAGTGGCTGGCCCCACACACCACTCCCTGTCACTCCTTGCTTGGCCTGAGAAGGGAAGGGTGTGGGAATGGAGATTTGCCCCATATTCCAGAATGGGAGCGAAGCTTCATCTCTTGCTGAGTCTCATGGGCATTTCTTCCGGCTCTTGTTGGTGCTCTGTGCACCTTGATCTTTCGGGGAGATGTGCGACTTCCTCTTAGCCCTGAGACACTGGCCCAGCCCAGCCATTTCTCTCCACTGCTGCTGTTGGCATCTCCATGGCCTGCCCACTGCTCTTGCAGACAAATTTAGTGTGCTTCACAATGGCACATCCATTTAGACGGCATCCTCTTTTCCTCCTGGAGCCCATTATGATGTGAAGCATTGGCTGTAGCTGGGTCAGGCTAGTATCTTGGGGTGGAAAGCAGGTCATGTGTCTCCCTGAGCAACTGAGGTGCATCCAGCACCAACAAAGGCTGAAGAAGTGCCCCCGAGACCTAGAGAGTGCCAGAGAATCAGAATGAGAGAGAGAGGGAGGGAGGGAGGGAGGGGAGAGAAAAGGGAGAGAGAGATAAGAGAGAGAGAGACAGACAAAGAGGGAGGGGGAGAGAGATGAGACAGAGAGAGAGAGAGGGAGAGAGAAATGAGAGAGAGAGAAAGTGAGAAATACACAGAGAGAGAGATGAGAGAAAGAAAGAGAGATGAGAGAGTGATAGACAGACAAAGAGAGAGGGGAAAGAGAGAGAGAAAGAAAGAGACAGACAGACATACAAAGAGAGGGAGAGAAGGAGAGAGAGAGATGAGAGATCCTGGTGTTTTGTTTTCTGTGGGAAACCGGTCCAAATGGCTCTTTGAGTGTTAAAGGTTGCAAAAACGGGCGGCCAAACTAAGTGCCTGAAGGACCTCATCGCATCACTGTGAGTCCAGGCACTTCAGCAAGCGGTGCGCTGGATTCGTATTATTGGTCTGCGGGATTTAAAATTATTAATTTAGTGGTCCCTGAGGTCTGAAAGGCTGGTGACCTCTGCTCTAAGTCATGGATGTCAAACTCACGGCATCACATTGCCATCACATGTCATTTCGCAACGTTTTTTCCCCCTTCGCGTAGTTGGGGTGGGTGTGGCTTGCGGGTGATGCATCTGGCCTGGGGGCCACCAGTTTGACACCCTTGCTCTAAGTTGTTACATCCTGGCCATGGCAGGATAAATTTTAGCCTTGAGGATGAATCATATTATGGCACTGTCTGGGAAAGAAAAGAGGGAGGAGAAAAGATGAAAAATCAGAGATGTAACAATGTTTCACATGAACAGCTGATATAGTTGAATTTTTCCTATATACCTCAAGAGGCATATTGGTCTCATGAGTTGTTTGTACATGTTAATAGGCCATGGTTTTAGAGAGATTGATATTACATTCTTTTTAGCATTGTGTGAGCAGGATTTGGATTGCAAAATAGGAGGATC